AAGATATTTGCACATTATGCATCCAACAGAGGTCTAATATCCAGAATCTATGAGGAATGTAAATAATTGAACAAGCAAAATACAATGCCATTAAAAACAAAACAAAGAAAAAGAGAAAGATATGAGCAGACACTTCAAAAGAAGACATGAAAGCAGCCAATAAACAGGAGAAAAAATGCTCAACATCACTTATCATCAGAGAAATGCAAATCAAAAACCACAGTGAGGTGCCATCTCACACCAGTCAGAATGGCTATTATTTAAAAAGTCAAAGAAACAATAGATGATGGTGAGACAATGAATACTTACAAAAACAGTGTGGAGATTTCTTGAAGAACTTAAAACAGAACTACCATTTGACCCAGCAGTCCTATTACTGGCTATATACCCAAAGGAAAATAAATCATTCTATCAAAAAGACACCTACACTCACATGTTCATTACAGCACTAGTCAAAATAACAAAGCTGTGGAATCAATCTGGGTTCTGTTAATGATGGACTGGGTAAAGAAAAGGGGGTAAATCACCAGGAAATACTACACAGCCATAAAAAGTATATAATTATGTATTTTGCCATAACATGCATGCAGCTAGAGGTCATTATCCTAAGGAGGTTAATGCAGGAACATAAAACCAAATACTGCATGTTCTCATTTGGAAGTGGCAGCTAAATATTGGATATTCCTGGCCATAAAATGGCAATAAGATACACTGGGGATTACTAGAGCAGAGAGGGAGGGGAGCAATGGTTGAAAAATTAACTAATTGGTACTATTCTTGGTACCTGGGTGATAGGATCAGTTGTACCCAAAACCACAGCATCACTCAATATATACATGTAACAGACCTGTGCATGAACCCCTTGAATCTAAATTAAAATTTTAATGAATATGTGGGTATCAGGTTTTTTTAATTAAAAAAAAAAATGTTTAATATGTTCCTGTTTTTCATATACATAGAAACCAGAAGATTTGGACATGATCTGCATGTAAACAAGCTATGACATTTTTAAACAGTCATGAGAAGTCATAAAAAGCCTTTAGTATGAATGATTTATTAAATTACAGGTCCTCATTTATATCCAGACTATTAGGCTTGAATTTTGGCACTTTGTTACCTGTTATTTGACCTTAGGTCTGCTATGTAACTTTTTCTTGCCCAAGGTTCATTATGTGCAAAATGAAGAAAGTAATAATATCCTACCTCTTAAGATTATTGTTGAATAATAAATTAATGTATGTAAAATGCTCCATACATTCTAAGTGCTGAATAAGTTTCTCTGCCACTATCATTGTTATTATTGTAACTATTGAAGGATTTCTGTCTATCATGTTATCAGTAAAATAAAAAAGGGTTTTATCAATCTGGAAAACAACACTAACAGAACCCTAATCATAACAGTGCTAGAATTGGTCCAAGTTTATCCAGAATTTCCAAAATGGCACTTGACTCCTTTTCATTGTATCAACACAAATTAACATTATATAAAATTTGGAAGGTTTTACAGCAAAAAGAAATGTAACTGAGCACACATGTACCTGGAATTGAACTATTTCATCTCTTTTCTCTTTTTCTTCTAGAAAGAGCATTAGATTTAGTATCAGAAACTGTTTTAATTCTGGCTTTGCCTCTTATTAATCATAGTAACTAGAGGGAGTTGGTTAATTCTCTGAGCCTCTCTTTCTCCCTTTTTAATGTGGAGCTGATAACTCTTTTTACTATGGTGTGCTTTCAGCATCTGCCAGTATTATTTGGACTCCAGACCTTTCCTTGTCCATTCCTGGACTGGGCAGTGGTGATCCTCTGCCCTGTAGTACAGTAATTTTCTACACCCTTTGTTTTCTTATTTATCTCCCTCAGTAGATTTTGCATCCATAGGCGAGTGTAACTCTGTTTTGTTCACATTTGCAACATCCTTTCTTGGACATAGTTAATGCTCAATTAAATCCTTAGCCCATAAGAAATCAGTCACAATAGTCATCTATCTTAGACTCACTCCATTGCTAACTTTATTCAGATTATATAGAGCATGATGATATTCTAATTCAAAGACTGACAGTACATATATTCCTGGAAATGATTTGCTGAATTCCTCTGAGTGACTAGGATCAGCCCCCTCCCCACAAGAATAAGGCAGGCAGAACACGTTTGTCCCAGTGTGGTTATTATACTATTTAACTTTTTTTTCGTCTTTGTATATTTTATGAATTGGAAAATGACAGGAAGATAGTCTGTCAACATTGGGAATCCCATGAGGCTAAGTACCTCAGTTTTCAAGGTTTATGAGCTTTAGGTACATTGTCAGAGATATGTGCTCATTCCCTTCATGTTCATTCCATCTAGCCTAATAGCATATTTGCCCTTTAGGATTGTAATTATGTGGAGACTAATTAGTGGGCTATTGCTGTTATTCAGGTGACAGATAAGATAAAAAGGGCTCTGACAGAGCCATAAAGATAAACCTTGAGGGGCAGAGTAAAGAGCCTTAGAAAATAAGAATAGGTGGGCTTAGGAGACAAAACATGGAATTGTGAGGATAAGTGAAGACTTAAGAGTGATAATCAGGTTTCTCATTTTAGCAACTGGAGTTTGTGTTAATTACAAAGATTTTTACCCGATTTTATTTATTTCATTTATTTATTTTTCGGTGGGAGATACTGATTTCATTGTTTGGAGGTATTGATTTTGAAGTTTCAGTGAGCCTCCATCTTGTTGTGGCTCAGCTTTTGAAAGCAGATCTTGATGTCAGGAGGGAGATCATTATTTCAAAATTGTGGGCAGTCAGCATATACATGAGCCACATTTATGCATGATGTCATGCAGAGACTCTATTTATCCATGTAGACTGTATTTATTCCTAGAGACAAGTACAAAACCCTGTAAAACACCAACTGCTTTTAAAGGAGTTCATGAATAAAGAGACATTTTCTTTTTCATTCTGTGTAGGAAGTTCTCAAGAAGACTGGTCTCTCAGGAGCCCAGGAATACAGAATTTCAGGAAGGAAGATGAATTCAGTAGTCTGAGGTGTAGTAGTTGAGTGGAGTTTGACATAAGTGCACTATTTTGGGGGTCTGATAATTGGTAGAAATTTAATAGGACATTTCAGGGGAATTCTGGGAAGGGAATCTAAACAGGATTTAGGGGTAAATGGGATTGGGAAATTGGTCATACACACCACAGACCATTGTTAAAGAAAATCTGGCTTTGAAAGGAAGAACAGTCATAAGCAGTAGTTAGAGGTGGATACAAGAAAGAATAAAGGTTATACGGGTATTTTCTTTTCCTATGTCTAAGAGGTAAATGAACATTTTTGTAATCTTAAGAAAACTATATGGTAAAAGCAGCTGAAGATATTGGGACAAAGAGGGGTTGATTGAAGGATTTTAATTTCTAAAAAAGCTAGAAAAAATAGAATTAAATATCTAGATGGTATTTCTCCCCTCGTGCCCTTAGCCTTCTATCAAAGGAGATGCACCTCTTTATCTGAATTTTTTTTTCTTTATCTGAATTTTAAAGCAAAGCCATGAAGACATTTAAGGTTGTAGATAAGTTTCAGAAGTTAGCTAATATGTATGAGTTTAATTCATGGGAAAGCATTATGTCAGTAAAATTATTGTCATAAAGAATATTCCTTTTTTAAAATGTGTTCATCCTCTTTATCAATTTTGCCCATGTTTGAATAAAACTGACCATTTCCACAAATACTTGACTACTGCAGGAAGCTTTATTCTCTCTTGTTCCTAGCAGCAGACAAGTACACTTGACAGCATAGCATATTAATTTCATGATCAAATTAACTGTTGTTCAGAGTTTTTAATAGAAATATATATATGTGAAAGTGATCTTAATGTGTTTGGGAGTTCTTTATTCAGATGACTTTTTAGCAACTATGAGAAATGATGAAGTTGTTAATATGTGCTTTTGACACATGTGAGCATTCTTTAATTTTAAATATTTTCCCAAGATGCTCATTAAATAATGTATTTTAAAATGCTTAACAGAATAAGTTTTTATTAGCAGCCTTCTCTTTTCTCTGACCTCCATTTTACCAGCCTTTCAAAGACCTCAGCAGCTGCCAAGTTGAATCTGCAATTTGAGATGATAACAGCAGTATTCAGGCTCAATAGATGTGCGGAATGTCTGTAAGATACTTACTGATTACAAGAGAATGGGGATAGGCCAAAAAGCCCTCTGTGCGAGCTTTTTGAACTTAGTTCAATTCTCCAACACCTTGTTTTCATAGACATGCCTGTAATTGATTTCATTCGGTCATGAGGGTGGGTTCTGGCTTGGCTGAGATGTTACATGCAGTTACTACCTTAGCGCCTTCTGAGAAAGCCTATGGATTCTTGGGGTCTGCAGAGAAAGATGTTTTTCAGAACAGTGAACTGAAATTTGCACAGTGTTCTGAAATCCAATCTTATTAAACTAAATCCAAATATCAAGAAAAGGATGATGTGGATAGCTTTCAGTCTTTTTTGTTGTTCTTTTTTGGCATCTGATTAAACTCTCTCTTTTTACTATTGAGCCAGACTACCTTTTTCCTCTCAGGCAGCCAAGCACCAATATTTCCCAAGTAACACAGCTAGTGAGAGAGGCATCTCATGTTTCCATATATACATATCTCACTGCCTTAGACCTAAGTTTCCTTTCCGAAGTGATGGGAAAATGTGCATGCTCCAAGAAGAAATCCAGGTGGTTAGTAATTCTAGTGGGAGAGAAAAGACGGCTAGAAAAGGGGAAAGTTCAATGGTGGTTAAAGGCTTTTAGAAAATACCTCCTAATACTTTCTAATGCAGCACAAATGCAACTGATACCTACCCAGCATTTTCCCTCCTGAGGAATCATTTCCTTATATTTAGAATTTATTTTTATACTACCAGGTTAGCATTTTTACTGCGTTGTTAACCGTTTTTATTTTTGGAATATAAAATAAAAATTTGTGGTTTTATATATAATAATACAGTCCTTTCTCTAAATTTCTGTTTTCCTCATGCAGAGGGCTACTTCTCCAGGAGAACAGCAGGTTTTCAGAAGCACTACATTATTATAAATTGGCCATTGGGAGCAGGCCTACCCTGGCTTGTAAGTAATACTCAAGTTTTTATTTTTTTATACCTCTTTCTATATTTGAAAATTAACTCTAGTTTACAGCCTCACTGAGAAAACACTTGGTGCTTTTATTTCTGAATACTTGCTAATCAAATTATGAACCTCTTAACAGTTATATCTTTCAATTGCATCATACTTTGATGTCCATTGATCATTTAAAAAATTATGATAGCTATAACTTTTACTCAACTAGATTTTAAGCTTAAAATATTTGGAAGTGCTTGCTGGCAGGGACTATTTCATATGTTTTGCAATGATATTTGCAGCTTCTACTACCGTTGTTGATCCCATGAGTATTTGTGTCTTAAGTACTTTTTTCTTTTTTAATGAGCACTAAACCATAGAAACCAAATTGAAACAAAGAAAACTTTATTTTATTCACAGTGTATATCATCTTCTCACATTTTCGTTTCCACTTTTCCCCCTCAGCTGCATATTTAAATACCGGTATTATTCTAATGAACCAAGGAAGGACGGAAGAGGCCCGACGGACATTCTTAAAGTGTTCTGAGATCCCAGATGAAAACCTAAAGGACCCTCATGCACACAAGAGCTCTGTTACCAGTTGTTTGTACAACCTGGGAAAGCTGTATCATGAGCAGGGACACTATGAGGTCTGGCCAATGCCTCTCTATCCTTTTCTCTCCCCCTTGTTCGGATCTAGTCTCAGTGGTTTCTAACCTACAGCCTCCTTTCAGAGCCTGTGTCCTTTCAACAACTAATATGTATACACATTAAACTATTGTCCTTTGAAAAACTAACACCTGATGACATTAGAAGGATTTTTTGATCAAATTTGTTTAGAAAAAGCTTCTGCTAAATAAAAATTTAATAGATTTCTTTCCTGTGAGTTTCTCAGAGCAATTATGTCAATGGTATGTCAATATGTACTGAGACTGTTCAAGATTGGGGAAATAACATGAAATGTTTCTCGAGCTTCTTTGCTCACCATTTCTTTGGTTTGATGATCCAAGACACAGTTTCTAGAATTGTTACCCTATAGCCAGTGTTTGAAATTTTAAAAAATACTTTCTTTGTACTTTGCATGTTAAGGAAGTGATTTGATATAAGTGCCACCCATTTCTCTTTAATTCTTTAAAAAACTGCTATGAAATAAAATTTAATTTTATTATTTCTTAACTGAGAGAAAAGAATCAGTGGTGTAACAGGATGTTGCACAGTAGGTTAGGAGGTGACCCAGACTGGTCCTCCTTTCCTGGAAGCCTGCTTGCTTGAGTTCCTTATTGCCCCTCTCTCTCCTTCAAACTGCTTTCCCCTGCCCTCCCACTCATGTACTCTTACGCAATGTATTAAAACTGTAATATAAGGATGAAGATACAACTTTTAAAATAATTGCATTTAGTAATTTCACTGGGTCTTAAGAGCTGGAAGATTTGTTAGCGGACATTATATTTAGATCCTACCAGGTTTCCTGACTTAAAGTAATTATGCGCTTTAGATGACTAATGGATAACTTTCAAATATATATTTTTTTTAGTTTTTTAGTTGAGTAATCTGTATGAACTTGAAAATTTGTATGAAAAGACTATTGCTAATATTCAACGCCTCGTTAAGCTATGGCATTCTTCACTGACTGGGCTGAGTATTTTCATTGGTGGAATTGAGATAGTATGCCACAAAAGGACAGCTCAATTATTTTCCTCTAGTGAACCATTTAGAAATAGCAGTGGATGGTTTTAACTTTGGAAGAACGTTATTATCTTATTTTCAGTGATGATCCCTGCACTTTAGTGATGATTTATCTCTTTTTTTTTTGTTTTATAAATTAGGAAGCCCTTAGTGTATACAAGGAAGCAATTCAGAAAATGCCAAGGCAGTTTGCCCCACAGAGCTTGTACAACATGATGGGTAAGTAAAACATTAAGATTTTTTAATTGATATTTCAGGGACCCGTGGAGGAACAGGAACCCATGTTCGTGTTTAATGGAATTCTAATAAATCGTATTAATCCTCACAAAGAAACATTCACAATCTGGCATCATACTCAAATTCTGACAGAGCATATTTATTCTGACATGACAAATAAATGCATTAGCACAGTGATTCCCAACACCTTGATCATATCCCAGAATTATTGCAAAGGACTCTCAAAACCATCTGGGTATTGAATATTAGCTAGACTCTAGAGACTGTAGAAATAATCTATATATGTATAATTTTTCAATAATAGAGATGAATAAAATATACATTGATTTTAGTAAGTTCATCAAATTCATGATAATTTTTATCACAGTATTTTCTTAATCAGAAGAGTCTCTAAACATGCTATGACATAGAGATAAATGAACTTTGATGCTTGTAAAAGATAAGATAAATTAGCCAACTTGTGTGGTTTTCATTGATGAACACTTGGATTTCAGTAGACCTTTTCAGCGTAATATTTTAGAAAAAAACAAGATTAGGTAGACAATAGATGTGCTACAACAATTATTCTATGTTTTGTGTTGAATAGTTAGCCTACTTTTTATTAATCAGAAAGTATATAAATCTAAGCCATGAATTTTTCTGGGTATAAGAGGTCAAGAACAAGAAATTATAGTAAAATAGCTTTCATCTGTGATTGATCCCTGTCTGCCTTGTAGTAAATTGTTGCTACAGTTGTTGGATGATGGTTATGACTGCAAACCACATATTCAGCATATGACACTTGGAAAAAAAATCCCTAAAGTAAGGTGGCCTAATGATTAATTAATATTGCTGCTTGGAAATAATAAAGAGAAGAGAAATGTTTTGTCCTCAAATCAAATATTTCTTTTTTTCCAAAGCACAAATTACAAAGTCAGATTTTCCCTTTTCATTAAACCTGCTTAATTGTTTAATATTTCTAGTCCTCTCTCATGCATATAAAATAAGTGAGATTAGACTATATAATCTCTAGGATTACTGTACACTTCTACATTCTATATTTGAGGAATTTAATAGTAGCTTTATGTCTTGAGCACAGAAAAAAATCCCAAACCTCTCCAAACTACAAAATATACACCTGACAAGAACACTCATGTTCTCTTTTTTCCAAAGAACAGAACATTTAGAAATAGTTTAAAGATAAGCTGGAGCACTGGACAGTAAACAGAAAAACAAAATTATTTGGAAAAGGTTAAAATATTTTTTCCATGTCTCTGGGAATCTCACCCCCAATTTGCCTGGGGAATGATTGAATATCATATTAAACAGCACACTGGAGTGTTTTTTAATTGTCACTTTTTTCTCTTTGGCATAATTACTAAAAGGTTAAAATTTAGCTTCATTAAATACATTCTTGCCATTAATTTTTTATAAATTGAAACAGTGCCTTTTACTATCCAGCATTTCACCGTCAATCTATCTATACGAATGAAATATACGTGTCCATAAAGCACGTGCTTAGGATGTGTAGATTTATGAGTTGAATTAACTTTTTTATTTTAATGGTGGATGTTTTTGTGTCAAAATAAATACTGAGAGAATTGCTTTCTATAGCTTTGGTTTTAGTTTATTATTTTATTCTTAATTCTAGTGCTTCCAAGGCCTTATTCCCAATTTTTCTCAGTTATCAAATAAGACATCTTTCTTCAAATTAGGATAGGTCTCTAAGATTCTTGGCAACAGACTACATGTAGTATTTTTGTTGTTATTGTTGTTAATGGAAAGCGGTGATGTTCACTAGAGTTAGCTGTTTCAGAAATTCATTCAATTATTTTATGTGAATAAATTTGAAAATTCAGCCAGTACCTTGGGATCTGTCTCTCATATGGTTACACAGATGCTCAGCTCACACAGGCAGCAAAAGATAAATGTGTCCCTGGGGGTTATTGCTTAATCTTTTGTCTCATTTTCCATTAGAGAAGGAGATGGTTGCTTCGTCCAGACTCTGAAAAGCACCCTAACAATTTTTAAAGGAAGGGTCTTCATATTTAACATTCCAGATTTTTTCTATGATTATGGTGGCTGCCTTCTATTTAATTTTATGTGAAGGTCTGTTAGCCAATCAGGTTTTATAGTTTCAGTTGTTCAGGAAACTATAATTTTCTCAGAAAGTGAATTCACCTCCTAATCAAAATGGGTTAAATCCCCCAAGTGTTGGCTTTAGCTCCTAATACATTTTGATTAGCCTCCATTTGACAAGAAAAAAATGACCCAGGAGATAAGCTGCCCTATCAGTTCATCAGTTTCATTAGTCTGTCAGCATGTGCTGATTATCCTATCAAGTTTATCAACAGCCTTGAATGTGTTTTCTAATTCACACATTTACATATTATTAGTGCCCTTTAGGGATCAGTGATGGATTATAATGTCTGGCTAGATTTACCCTGTAAGTGTTCATTTTTCTCATGTGTCATTTACCCCTTCACAACCACTACCTCCAAGCACTTGTGTATAGATATACAAGCATTTTATTTTTTCCCATTCTATTTTTTCTTTTGTTTAGAGGTTAGCAGAAGTAAAGGAGTGTGTGTGAAAAAATAGAATTATATTTTTATGTGGTTATTAGTGTAATACTAAATTCACTGCAGTTGCTTTTGTTAAAAAACATTCTAGTCCTTTGATTTTAATCTCCCTTTGAACATTTTATGAAAAACATATTACATACCATGTGCCGCATGCCAGTTGACTTACCCTGAATGCCAAGTGAGTGTGTTTTTCCTATTTATGTATTAATAGAAAATAACACGTTTGATTAATTCCCCAACTTAAATTTTCCATATTTTAAAACTGTTCATTTATTTTATTATGGCAGCTTATAAGTAAATTTTTAAAAATGTTTAAAAGCCTATACTCGTTTATCCTCTTCAATTTCATAGAACCAAGATGTTTGAGTAACAATAATTGAGAAGTACCTTCCCATCCTGAATTAGGTGAATTACAAACATACATAAAAAACTAAACAGATAAATAGTATTTTATAAACAAAAGCTAAAATTTTACTTGGGTTCATATAATTAGGAAGATATGGTAATACATGAAATATTAAGAGAACAACTCACAAAATATGTGTTAAATTGCTCCTAGCCAGTTGTGTGACTTAATTCTGTGGACCTCATTTCCTCTTGAGAAAGCAGGTTAGATTAAATTGAGATTCACCATAAGTTAGTCCCTGAAGTCAGATACCCTTGGTTCAAATTATGGCTTTGACACTTTCTCCCTGAGCATCCTTGGGAAAATTACTTAAAAGAAGCCTCAGTTTCCCTTTTATAAGATTTTGGTAACAGTAGTATCGGTTTCAGGATTGATTAAAATGATAAAATAAAAAAGGTAAAACAATTGGTCCAGCTACCTAACCTAATAAGTGTTTTGTAACGGGACTTTCCATTGTAATTATCATCATTTCCTTAGGCTTTTAAACTCCAAAAGTTGATTGTATTCTTTGTCACTGGCTTTTTGCATTTAGCAATGTGAATATGAATACTTCATAAACAAGATTTTTGTCATCATTATGGCCTTGGTAGTCACCACAGTTCAATGGAGATTCTGTTTAGTTTTATACTATCTGGAATTGCTGTATTTTCTCTCCAGGCTCATTTCCCTTTTTCTCTCAGTAACTACAGTCAAAATCCTTCTCTTACCATTAGCTATATTAACCAAAACTAAAAGAGTATATTTTGTTATTGCCAATTTACTTGGTTTCATTAATAGAGTGCTTCCTCCAAATTAAAATTGTCATATGTAGGTTAGAGTTTTTTTCTGTCATGATTTATTTTTCTTCTAGATCTAACCAAAATTATTCTGTGTTCTGTCACTCATAGGCATTTATTGGATCTCAGTTTCTCTTCTTCTGAAATTATAGATGTATTTTAGAATCATGGAATGTTAAAAATGGAAGACTCATATCTTCAAAGCCCTTATAATATTTTATAAGATAAAAATTAACACCCCCCAAATTTTATAAAGTTCAGATTTACAGTTTGTATTATAACCAGGAGTATAGTTTCTTGACTTAAATCCAGTGCTTTTTCTGCCTAGTCCTTCTGTGTTACCTAAACTATCACATTTTTTACTATGTCACACTAGTTTTCCTTTGCACTTAAAAATTCGCAAAAATTAAATATATTAAAACTTCTACAGTTTTACTGTAAAAAATAAAACAGCTGTAAAGTATATTGAATATACTGGATATTAAAATTTTTTTTAATGCAGGATAATTTCTAAATACCCTCAGTTTCTCTTTTCTTTCTCTATAATTGTTTATTTCTCCTATTATCTCTACTTAAGCATTGCTTTTGAATAATCCTAAGGGATTATGGGAAACTAAATTAGGCTGCAGCATCCAATTATTTTTATCTGTTTGAACTCTTTCAATCCCAGAGGTCGTTTTAAGCCTATTTACTATTTAAAATAAAATGACTTGGCTTTCTCAATGCCGAGTAATTGTTGGGTTTAATTATACAAGCAATTTACATCATTTCACCATGGTAATATATCTTGAGAACAAAAGGGCATAATGTACTATATGGAGTAAGAGAGAGCCTAGGGTGACTGTCTTGTCATTTCAGTCTGTAATAACTGTTTAGAATAACCTCTGTATGCAAAAAAAAAAAAAAAAGTCACAAGTGCTGGGACAGTACAGAGGCAGCAGACATATGACATGTAAATAGTTAATCTAGTTCCTTCTCTCAAAGAACTTTCTGGGAGATTTCACAGTTGGTCCAGAGCTCTTTAGGGCCTCTCTGTAATAATTAAATGCCTATGAGTAAAATGGAATACTATTACTCTAACCTTGAAAATATTTTGTCTGTAGCTATATAGGCTATGCTATGTTGACTAGACCGAAGAAAACAAACAAGAGAAACTCAAGCTTTTTAATTTCTTATGTGATACTTAAGAAATACGTATTCATAATTTCCTGTTCTCTAAAAAGTGTGTTTATGATG